CCCCGCACCCCCACCCTCTCTTTGCTGTTTTGCCATGTAATGCCTTCCATCATATTATGATGCAGCAAGAAAGCCCCTGCTAGATGCTGGCACCTTGATATTGGGTTTCTCAGCTTCCAGAACGATGAGCCAATAAATTTCTATTCTTTATAAATTACCCAGTCCCAGGTATCCTAACAGCATGAAATAGGCTGGCAGTGATACAGTTGGGGGCAAACAAACTGACCAAAAAACTGAAAAGGATCAGTTGGGAAGTGATATGTCCATAGGGGCTTTGGAAAGCTTCTAGATTTGGGAATCTAGAAAGCCAAATGCATGCATAGAGCTATGTACATGCTCAGGAAAGACCTGGACCACAGAGACAGTATCAACAACAGCAACAACAATAAAAAGGAATTAAGTATTGATACATTCTACAATGTGTGTGAACCTTGAAAACATTCTTTGAGTGAAAGAAGACAGATATAAAAGGTATGATTCCATGCATATGAAATGTCTTGAATAGGCAAATCCATAGAGCCAGAAAGTAGATTAATGGTTACCAGGAGCTGTGAGGAGGAGAGGGCTGCTAATGCATACAGAGCTTCCTTCTGGGGTGATGAAAATGTTCTGAATTAAATAGTGGTGATAGTTGCCCAGCTTTGTGAATAGAGTAAAAACTGCTGAGTGAATAAAAATTCACCCTTTACAGTGGTGAATTTTTATATGTATTATAACTCAATAAAAAGATGATCTAATCCATGGAAAATGTGTCAATATGGCAGGTACATGGACTGATTTTAGATATTTTAGGTAACTTGCCACTGCCTTTGTCCCCTCTCTCCTGCTTGTGAGTCTGCCTATTTATATTCTCTCTCTGTCCATCTGTCTCTGTCTTTCATGTCCCTTCATTCAACTGTGGCCTGCCTTCTTGAACTTCTCTAACAGCCTCTACTAACATTGTATGAGAACCACTGTGAGGTAGGAATCTTGGAAGTAAGACTGCCCTATAAGAACTAAATTTTACATCAACCAGTGGATTAAAGCGGGGATATATGAAATCATCTATAACTCTGATCTTAACCAACGCTTTCCTGATCTTCAAAGTATGGGGGAACTTTGCCCCAACTTCAGTGGCCTGAGATAGTAAAAAGCCTTTCCCAAGTTTCCTGTTGTCTTCATTTTTTTCTTTGTGGTTACCCACCTCTATTCCTGCGTTTGTGGTTCTCTTTGTTCATTCTTGTATCAGAGTCCATGAAAAGATCTACTTATATAAAACATCCTGTGAACACAGTTACTATAGATTTGAGATGTCAAAGAGGAGGGATCATGCTGTGTACTGCATAGCTTGCTAAAATCCTGCTCTCCTGCCACCACTGCCAAGGCCACTTACCACTGTATGCTTTGTGGGGAGCATCTCCTGCCAGAATGGGCCATTGGCTCTACTGAGCCTCTTTAGAATTTTGGCGAATTAAATTTTCTGCATTTTATTTCACATATTAAAGAATGAGAATGACTCTCAGGTCAGACAAAAATATTAACATGCCTAGCAATTTGTTAATCAAAAGGCAGATGGTTTAACTTAGAGGCGGTTGTTTGGTTAGCTTCTGATAGCAAGTAACACAAGCCAAGGTGAGCTGGTCTAGGCAAAATAAAGGAAATTTGTTACAAGGATATAAGGATATATTGGTCATGACTCTTAAGTGGAACAGGGTCCTGAATCAAGTTACACCACAATCCCCAGATAGGAGAGACACAATATTCTCCTTTTTGTTGTAACTACTATGAGTTATATCAGTCATTTGCAACTAAAGAGTCATGATGATACTCTTTGCAACTCAAGATAATACTCTTTACAGCTAAAGAGTCATGATAAAGTCAGCTTTGTTTGGCTTTATTCTGCATGCAGATGTTTGGTATGTGGTAGGCAAGACAGAACCTGTGGTTTAAACTCAACACTTCAGCCACCAGCTTCTAACTTCTTTTCTTTCAGTGTCTTTCTCTTTCTGGAACCACGTGATTTTCTTGCTTCTGCCTTTCTCTCTACTTCTGTTTCATTCTTCTCCTCATACAAATAGTAAAAATAATAATAGCTAATATTTGTTGAGAACATATTATGTACCAGGTGCTAGTCTAAATTCTTTACATACATTAGGTACTGTTAATGACCCCATTTTACAATTAAGGAAACAAACTCACAAGGGTTAAGTAATTTTGTCTACATTCATATAGTTAATATATGGTGTGTTTAGAAAAAGTTCAGGTAGTCTGACTCCAGAATCCACACTCTTACCCACTCTGCTATCCTACCTTTGTTATGCCTGTGGCTACCTATCATTGTTCAAACGACTTTCCTATTTTGGTGAATCTCCTTCCTTTGATGTCCTACCTCCTTAAGATAGAAGGCAGAATTCATGTTTTCAGCTTCCCTTACAGCTGGAGTACAAGCATGGGATAAAGACTCAGCCAATCAATTTTACGTATGCCAGATTGATATTCTGAAGAGAGCAATATAAGGAAGCAAACAGCGTGTTGAATCAATTTGTGAGTGTGTGTAGATAATGGCAACAAAAGTGTACCAATTTCAGAGGCAACGGTGGTGCAGATTCAAGTATATGGTATCCAGTGGGGCAAGTTGTAAATGGGGCAAGTTGAGATGCCTACACAAAGCCCGTTGCCGTGTGCCCTCACTGGAACCTCTTGATGTGGTTTGTATGATGTTTTGCATATATAGCTTATATGGATGACTATAGCTCTCTACGAGATTGAAAATCCATTACTTAATGCCCCTGAATGAATTTCTTTTCTGCCTAAACTTGTTAGAGTAAGTTTGGCTGTTAATAATTAAGAAC